CCTGGGTTTTCACTGGCATAGGGACATCCTTGGTGAGAAAATTCTTTCTATGAAGTTAGTCCCCTCTTACACAACTTGTTGTCTAATAAGACTAGTGTCAAAGCACAGAGAGGCAAATGTGGACACCTTTGATGAGGCAAGGCTAAGCCAGGAATCCGAACCCCTGGCTGCCTCTTCTGCTTTGTGTTTCTTTCTCTGAGGTGACTAAACAGTAACCCTCAGATGGACTGTTCCAGTCTTAGAGGAAACCTTCTGAGCTCAAGAGGTTCAATTACTGAGTCTCTAAGTAGAAATAAGTTTCACTGAGAAGGTTCCCCTTCTGGTTACTGCAATGTCTCTAATAAAAGAAAAATCAGTACCAATAGGAGGATGAGCTAAAGCCCTGACCTGGATTAAAGGAGAGGTTTTCCTAGGACCAAGCCCATTCTTCATAAGTCCAGAGCTAGGGGACCCTGAGGAATTTGTTCTTATACCAGTCTCAGAATTAATGGTTATCAGCAGGTCAAGGGACCAACCATTTACTGAACACCTACAACATGCAAGATTCTGTACTGAAGACTGAACAACAACAACAAAGATAAGAAACAGTTCCTGTCCTGGAAGAGCTCGTAGTCTAATGGAATCTTATGTGGGATCCTTCCAATTCAATTCAACAAACATTTATTAAAAGAATATTGTGTACAATGGTGATACAAAAATAAGAAAGAAAATAGTCCTTGCCCTCCAAGTGCTTACATTCTGCTGGGAGGGGATGGTCTAAAGATGTCTGAGCCTATAAACTTATGGCCACACAAACATTAAATATTTGAGTTTTAGTCAAGCAGTACCTTTTTTTCAAAATGGCTTTTCTGCCATGAAAGTTCAACATCTGCTAGGCCAAAATCATTTTTGGTCAAAGTTTAGAAGATGACAAAAGTCTTTCAACACCTGTCTAACTGACACCATTATCTAATGAATATAACCTATCTGACCAATGATCTTAAAATTAGTTAAGCATGTTTAAAATATTACTATTGAAGATGTACTTTGGCCCATACACATACATACATACATACATACATACATACATACATACATACATACATACATGCATGGCAAAAAGGAATCATCCTTGACAGAGTAGAAAAGTAACTTCTATCTTACTCTCCATTTTGAAACTGGTGCCTTTTCCCAGACTCTTTTGAAGAGGACAGAATCAAACCTTTTAGATTTGATACCAGCAAAAGGTGAAATTTTCACTTAGAGGAAGGAAACCCCTTCAGGCGTATTATACAACCATTTAAAAAAAAGGACCTCTCACTTTCATAAGGAAAGAATATTTACCGTGGTTATTGTGGCAAAGGACAGAAAATGAAGAATAGCCATAAATATCAAACTTGGATGGCCTTTAGTCCTCACTGAGCGAAGAAAAACCAAGGCGATTTTGCAAGTGGTATTTTTTAAAGTTGTGATGGTTTCAAATTATGGGTCTGAGGAGATGCAAAATTTTTGTCTTCATTTTGAAGGAAGGTTTGGGTAAGTCATAGAGAACTGCATGAAGCCTCCTATCTCAACTAAAAGACATTTTCCCTTATTTTTTCCCTTCCCTTCCCTTCCCTCCCAAATAGCAACCAAAACAAAGGAAAAAACCCAGAAAATTCTTCAAAACTTGAGCTAAACTAGATGCAAATAAGGGGCAGTGAGCTTCAATCCTGTGTTTTCAAAGTTAAAGTTTCTCCCCAAATGTTAACTTTGCCCTGCTGGGTGCCATGAGATGACGTATTTTCTATTCCTATTTTTTTTCTGCTTAGATATATAGTTTAATGCAATATTTATATAGATACACCCAAATCTTAAGTAGATACAAGGAAACGGAGCTGATGTTGCCAGGGAACTGAACACCTGATATTCCTATAGAAAACGAAGATACTTTAGTTGCCTGAGTGAAGCAACCACGGAAAAATAAAGTGTTACACCGCTTTACACACCCAACTGCACAAGGCCAAACACCCCTCCCCAGCACCCCCCCCCGAGAGTTGTGTTGATAACAAAGTAACCATGAAAACAAAAGAGCAAGCACACAGGGTTTGTAATAGTTTTCAAGAAGGGAAGACAGCTCCCTTTACCTATAGGCGCAATCCCCCCCACCCCCACCCCCACCCCGCCCCCGCCTTCTAAAACACCAGTTCATCGAAAGGGAATTAAAAATGTAAGAAGGATATTTCTGGGTTACGCTCTATTTGTATCACCGTGTTTAATCACTGGACATTTCCAAGATATTTCTCGATCTCGACTCTCAGGCATTTCTATCAGACACTATATTAAGGAAAGTGGGTTCCATAGGCAGGGGCCAACCATCTTTTCTGTGCCAAACATACTTTTGAGATTCGCAAAGAAAGCAAATGCAAAACTGTTCGGGAAAAAAGATACTTATCTGCAGTACAAACCATAGAAACTCCAGCGCCTTGGCTTGTGGTGGGTACAGTCAAGAGCACTTCTTAATTAAAGGCAAAGTCAAGGCTAAGCAGAAGAGGGAAACTTTTAGTGTTTCCCCACTTTGATTCCCCAGACTCCACGCTTCATATTTGAGGGAGGGAGAGTTCGCAGAAAAAGCTAAAGTTTCACCTCAGAAAGTGTCAGTGAACCCGAAAAACGATACACAGAGCTGATATAAAATGTCACACACAGTCCCTCCCCATGAAACAAGCTACAGAAAAGAAAAAGGAAAAAAAAGGGAAGGAAGGAAGGGGAAAAAAAAGAAAAAGAAAAACCTTTTCAAGGAAAATTAATGTTCCTGTCTGGTGGCTTTTTTTTTTACCTTAATACTGGACCTGCTGGTCTGGGTCTCAGTTTCCATGCTGTTCTCCTGCCTGTCTTTCTTGGACGCATTAGTCCTCACTTTGTAAGTGGACGTGTTAGAGGATTTGATGAATAATCCGGGCATAGGGTTGCTGTTTTGCAGCTGCTGAGACATGGTGGTATTGCTCTGGTTGGGGGAGATAGAGTCCTCGCACTCTTTGCCACTGTGGTACACCACCCTGCTGTCAGAAATGTGGATGCTTGGAGCGCAGCCCATGCTTTCAGGTCCCTTTGGACGCGATTTTCTAAATTGACTTTTGCTTCGATCGGCTGGATTTGGTCTCGGAATTCTCAGCTTCCCAAGGGTCTGTCTAGCTAGTCCTTCTTGTCATCCGCTGGGCTCGAGGGCTGTGTCATTATGAGTTAACCTCAGCGAGCAAGGAAACATAGCCCTTTTCTACTTCTGGAAGCGGGGGCTTCTTGGAACTTTAATGGGAACCCGGAGGGGGGCTGTGGGGAAATGAAGCGCAGGCCGAGCTGCACATCGTTGCCTAAAACGTTCAACGGGCAGGGTTTGGGGCAGGGTTTTTCTCCCCCCGGGGAGAAATCAACAAGCCCCTCTGACTTAGCGAGTGTGGCTCCCGGCAGGGAGCGCTTCCATTTTCTTGAATTAAATATTAAAATCCCAGAGAAGCAGTATTTTTTTTTAATTTCACAGTGTTTCAGGAGGATTTCGGAACGGGGTCTGGGACAAGGGGTGGGGTAGGGCGGGGGAAGGAGATCCCTGCTCTTCCACACCCCAAAGAACTAAACTGGCAATTTTCTTCCCACGAAGCTTAACTGTAAGAGACGCTACTACTCTTTGTTGGGGGTGGGGGGAAGTGAAACCCCCTTGGATTGCTCCCCCCTCCACAGTTAGAAACTAGCGCTCACGTTCCCCTCCAGTGCATGCTCCCTCCTTTCCTTCTCCTCCACCTCCTCCTTCCTCCCAACAGCGGCGGCGGCGGCGGCGGCGGCGGCGGCAGCGGCGCAGACTGGCTATTGACATGCACACACTATCCTCTTGGCAGCAGCTCCAAAAGGCAGATTTCCCCTCCGAAAAGCAGGTTTACCCTGCAAAGCATTCCATCCAGCGGTGCCAATTCCTGGAGTAGAGGAAAAGAAACACGGGAATCCCGTTTCAGTGCATGTTTGCCGCGCAAATAGAATAAAATAGGTGGGGTGTGTGTGACGGAAAGGGGGGTGGAGGAAGAGTTCAGAGCTTCAGTCTTAAGAAAATGGTAATAACGCTGAAGACGGGCAGGAACAAAAGGCTGGAGATACCCCAGCAGCGAGCCTGAAGGCAGGTCTGTAATGCATGCGGGGCCCACGGTGTTTCTGGTCCCAGAGATGATGCATACACGCAATTCTGTTGGAGTCCCTGGCTCTGCATGGAATGAATTAAAATGGCGAGACGTTTAATGCTCGGGCACAGAGCCTGCGTTGTGCAGCAGAGATGCTGCTCCTGCCTCTTCTTCCCTCGTCTCCCCTCCGAGGGTGGAGGGGTGGCCCCTCTAGCAGGGATGGTGCCCCGCACCCCCTTGAAATGCCCGGTGAATCTCTGCCAGGTTGTTTCCCCGTCCCAGTCTCTGCCCCAGGGTTTGACAGCAGCACGTCCAATCAAAGCACCCGCAAGAAGTGACCTCCAGCCTTTACTGGCGTCAATGCAAAACAGCCGGTGTAGCGCCCGAGCTTCCTACTTGGAGCCGAACCTGCTTGAGCTACTGAGCATGCCCAGAGGGAGGGAGGGGGGAGAGAAATGCTGCTGGGAGCCGTGAAGAGTGTCTCCAAAGCGGCTTTTATTTTACTTCTTTTTTTTTCTTTTTGCCCCTCTCCATATTTTAGCCCTGCCAGAGGCAGAGAGTGAGGTGAGAATCACAGTTGAATTCCACACTTCCTACAAAAGTACAGTATCCCAGATTTGGGACTTTCGAGACCATCTCACCCCAAATCCTCTTTTTACGGAAAAGGAAACTGAGGCCCAGGGAGACTGGGCGATTTGTACAAGGTCACGCTGGTTAGTTGTACGGTTTGGGACTAAAACCCAGATCTCCGGACTCGAAGACCAGCCGCTCTCTACCCAGTGTTATGTCTCTCTTGAACCTTACTCAGACTTTCCCTGTGGCCCCGGGTTAGATTTCCGTCATCAGGGCTGGCTTCAGTTAAGGGTCAGCTAACCATAAACCCGGGGTCGCGGGAACGTTCTGTTTATAGGACAGCCGGGAGGTGTCCTTCCCCCTACCTCCCCGGGGAGGGGAGCGATTAAGAGGGCAAGGCTAGTGAAGGAGGAAGAAGGGTGGCGAGAGGCAACATTTGGTACTCCCCGAACACTAACCGGGGTGTTTGGAAACTGGGGTTCTACTCCAAGGGCTGTCACGAAGAAGTTGTGTGACCTTGGCAAGCCACTTCTTTCTGGGACTCGGTTTCCTTCTATGTAAAAGGTAGGATCTGGAGTAGATGATCTCTAAGGCCCCTTCCCGTCTGCTATTCCATAATCTCTGAATTAGATGTTCATAATGAGGGGTAGCAGAGACACAGATTCTGTCTCCCGCCCCCCCCCAGAATAGGATGCCCTTCACGCTCCCAAGATCCTGCCTCCCTTGAAACAAAACTCTAAGTGCCGCTGGCCCCACGTCCCAAGTCTCCCTGCCTAGGGAATATCGGAGGAAAGCCTACTCCGAGTGGACCAGTCTTTCCCCCAGGGTCCTCGTCCTAGTCTCCGTCTCCTCCTCCTCCCGTTCCTTCCTCCCTCCCTCCCCCTTCTCCAGTCCACACCTTTTCCTAGTGCGGTCCCCAAGTTGAACCCTCTATTCCGCTGGGCTCCCTCCTCCCAGCCCAGCTGCTGCGAAGACCCGGAGAAGTGGATTTCGCAAACTGCTCCAGCTCCCTCCCTGGAGCCCTTTTCTCTGTGGCTCCTGAGGGGAGCTGGGCGCGCCCTGCAGCAGGGCTGGGTTCCGATCGCCAACTGGTTTTGTGCACTAGGATGTGGGACGCTCACTGCCCCAGGGCCAGGGGCGGGCGTTCGGCCAGCCGGGCTACTCCAAACCTGAGAGGGAAACGTTATCCCGCAGTGCCTGCCGAGAACCAAGCACTAGACCTGGCGGCCTTGTTCGCTCCCTCTGGTGCCTTGCTTCGGTGCACGAATTCTCAGGGTCACTGCCAACAGCCCCAATTTGTTCACTTACAAATAGGGAGTGAACAGTTAGCCTTTTGTGCTTGGAGAGCCCCTACGCCCCACTGGCCAGCGGTTTGAAAAACCCTAGAGTAACACGGTCGGATGGGAAATTCGAAGCCCACCCGCCAAAGGCACTCTCTCTAGTTTCTCCAGATCCTATCCTGAGATCCTCCTCGGGCTCCCGTCACGTCATTTTTTAGAGTGATTTTAAATTTAGAAAATAATCTTCATCTCTAGAAAACTGTGACAATTCTGGATGGAGGACGGGGAAGGGGGGGGGATTCATTTCACTTGTGCACGGTAATTTCCGTGGCTAGATTTTTTGACAAGAAAGTGTGAACTGAAAGGAAGCTATTTGCAACTCCCAAGCAATCTGGGAGCAGATTGGCTGGAGAAACTTTCTCACAATGCTTGCTTGCATCCTGTCTCTTTAGGAACAGGGAGCTGTTGTTTTACATCCAGGAAATCAGTAAGCTAAAGATTTTCTTTAAAATGTAAATATTAAATGCGAGGCTAATTATTTTAGCATAGTGCAAAGAGTGCTGGAATTGGAGTCAGAGAATCTGGGTTCGAATATCAGCTTGGCTACTTTCCTACTTGTGTGACCCTGGGCAAGATGCCTAACTTCACTGTGTCTCAGTTTCTTAGTCTGTAAAATGGAAGGGGGGTGAGGATTGGACTAGGTGGTCTCTAAGTTCCATTCCTGCTCCAAATATATGACCCTATGACCTTAAGTTTAAGTAAATGTAGGTAATGACACTTTTCCTGTACTTTATGGAATTCTTTTCACTTTATGGCAAATCTCTCTTCTATTTCTTCTTGTGAATTTCTTCTTCTCTTTCCCTTTTTCCTTCCTTTCTGGTGCTCAAGCCCCACTTTCTGAATGAAATATTTCCTATCTACCCTACTCTATATTGATGTCACTCTTCTCTGAACTCCTCTAGCTCTTTTATCAGTAGTATCTAATTAAGCACTTAATTATGTACAAGAAGCCTTCACTGTTTGCAGGGTGTGGTTCTAGAAATCCTACTCAAACTGGCAAATCTTGAATGAGATGGGAGAAGGGAGGAGGAGAAGCAGTGAGACTATGGGGCTGAAATGCTCTGGGAGTGGGAGAAGGGAGATAGCTTCAACTCCCCCCCCCACCAGTCCATCTAGGATAATAATAATAGTAACAGTAACAATAATACCAATAATGCATCTGCTTTCTCATTCCTTTTGCTCTTTCCTTCTTCCCCTCTTCTTTAGAAGTTGGAAGGGATGGAAGAATTGGAGAGAAAGATACTGAAAAAAGCAGGAAGGACCGGACTTGGAGCTGGGGGTGAGGAACGGTTCCAATTAAATTTTTAATTTAAGAATTCAATTAAATTATTAATAATTTTCAAATAAGTCAAAACATGGAGTTTGGGAAGGGATTAATGCATGTTAACTAAAACATATTTTTCAAAGAAGAAGAATAATGTTGATAACAAAGAGTACAGAAAGGCCTTAGCAGTAGCTTGGACTTGACTATTTGTTCTTTTTTTTTTCCATCTATAGTTCAATCTGAGTTATATCATTCCCAGACCACAAGTGTTTGGTGTTTGATTAGCTCCATTAATTAGAAGAGGAGGGTCATAACAATGAAGTCATGGGTTTGATCCCATGATCCAGCTGGGTTTTTACAAATAAAGAACTCCATTCCATTAGAATGTTGGCCAGCAATCTGCTTGACAGAGGTTGAAGACAGACTATGTTCTATCAACTATTCATGGAATATTGGGGTTTGAACCTGGCAGCCCAATGCTTTCATTTTTCAGGGGAGGAAACTGAGGCTCAGACAAGGAAGTATATGAAAAAGGTCACAGGCTGATTTAGTAGCAGAGTCATAACTAGAACCTAAATCTCCTGATTCTCAGACCTGGACTCCTCCCATAGGAGCCCGAGCTTTCAGCCTCACCAACACTAGGAAAGCAACCCAAAGAACATATTGTCTTCACATGCCAATGACAGCATCCTTTGCATATGAAAGCACATTGTTGTACTTTAGTGAGTGACAACATTTAGGAATGGGCAGCTAGGTGGCAAAGTAGATAGAGGGCTGGGACTGGAGTCAGAAAGGCCTGAGTTCAAATCTGATCTCAGACATTTAGTACCTGTGTGACCCTGGGCAAGTCACTTAACCCTGTTTACTTTAGTGCCTCATCTGTAAAATGCAAACCTCTCCAATATCTTTGCCAAGAAAACCCAACCGCTAAAAGAGGTTGAAAGGAGTTGGACATGACTGAAAAATGACTGGCTAAAAACATTTAGAGGGGAAGCTAGGTGGCACAATGGATAAAGCTCCAGCCTTGGAGTCAGGAGGACTTGAGTTCAAATCCTACCTCAGACAATTGACACTAGCTGTGTGACTCTGGGCAAGTCATTTAACCCCAATTGCTGGGGAGGGGGGACGTTTAGAAAAATCAGTCAATATTGGACAGAAATTGGTGTGGTTTTGACAACAAAAAGCGTAATGATGATCTACAGTGTAGGCTTTAGGGATCTGGGCAGCTCCAAAAACAGCCCTTAGTACATTGCTGCCCTGGTTAGATGACCTACATGCCTACTGTGGCCGCTAGAACTTCCCTACTCTCTCTCTTCCCCTCCATCCTGCTCCTGAGAATACCCAGAGCCCTCTGCCTTTTCCCCTTCCTTTCCACTGTTGATGTTTGAGCAATGAAAGAGGAGAATGAGAATTCTCTCTTCTACATCCAGAAGTAGGTTCCTAGTACCCATCCCTTCTTTGGATCTTGGAACAAGTCGCCACGTATAAACAACGTGATGAGTGGTGGTAAGATTATGTAATAAAGCTCAGGTATATTATTGTTCTAAGCAGTGGAGCATCATGGCATTCAGGAGACTGAGATGGAATCCCATCTATGAAAGTATACTAGCTGTATGACTTTGGACAAGTCATATCACTTCCCTAACTCCCAAGTGGGAATAATAATATATATACAACTTATCTCACAGGACCATTGTAGGAAATGACCTTGGACTGCTTGAAAGCTTTCACCACTCTAATACACTAGAGAAATGGGAGTGGTTAATAGCATTCACAAACTATTCACAAATACCTGCTTTGTTTCAATGCCCTATGCGCACTGAGGGAGGAAAGGCTTTCCCGAAAAGTGGTCAGTCAGTTAATATGCATTTAATAAGTGCCTACTATGGGCCTCCCATTGTGCTAGGCACTGGGGATACAAAAAGAGGCAAAAGACAGTCCCTGCCCTCAAGGAGCTCACAATCTAATGGGCATGAATATAGGCACAGAATCAGGACAGCATAAGTCATGTTTACAAAATGGAATCATACAATGTCAGGCCTGGAAGGAACCTCAGAGATCATATAGTCCAACCCCTTTCCCTTTTTTTTTTTTGACTGGTGCCAGTGACACCAATGTCTAGAGAACAACTAGGTGGTGCGGTGGAGTCAGGAAAATTCATCTCCCTGAGTTTACACCTAGCCTCAGACACTTACTAGCTGTGTTACCCTGGGCAAGTTACTTAATACGATTTGCCTCAATTTCTTCATCTGTAGAGTGAGCTGGAGAAGAAAATGGCAAACCACCCAAGTATATTTGTCAAGAAAACCTTAAATGGAGTCGTGAAGAACTGGATATGACTGAACACAGCAACAGCACCGAGACCAAGAATGGGGAAGTGACTTTGCCCACAGCACACAGGAAGTCAATGGTTTCAAACATAGGAAGCATTCAATAAATGCTCATGGATTGATTCTAGGCCTGGTTTTGCTGCTAGGTGGCTGTCAGTGCCTTGCTTCATCTGCAAGATGAGAGAGTCAGACTAAAAGTACCTCGAGGTCTCTTCAAGCTACATGATTCTGTGCCTCTATAAGCCAGGCTGCCTAACTCCTGGTTTCCTCACTAAACCATGCTACTTCTTGTATATTTTCATAAGATAAATATGACTTATAATATTGAATTGGTTTGAATATAGGCATCTCCCCAAATAGCCTGTACCTCTAAAATGATATTTCTTAGAAATGAAAACATAGGAGCAGCTAGGTGGCACAGTGGATAGAGCTTCGGCCTTGGAGATAGGAGGATCAGAGTTCAAATCCGGCCTCAGACCCTTGACACTTAATAGCTGTGTGACCCTGGGCAAGTTACTTAACCCCAATTGCCTCACCAAAAAAAAAAAGAAAGAAAGAAAGAAAAAGAAATGAAAACATATATAGATGTGCAATAATCTTTTTAAAAAACACTTTTTATAGGTCACACAGGTTTTATACAAGCTAGATTTGAGAATAGGGGTAGTATGGCCTATGCATTAACCAACATACAAAGGAATTTTTCATTTTTATGATAAATATTTTATAAATCTATATATAGCTTTTCTAAACTGACAGGGAAATTTTACAAATTTCAGAATTATAATTAGAGAAGGGTGATTAGGGGTTTGCCCCAAGGCTGGAGTAGGTTTAGAGAAGGGGACACACACTCCCTTCATACACTGCCATGTTGAATTGAATATTTCATAGTACTCCATTAGCCCCATGCCAAGCTCTACTATGCCAAAGTTATTTCCAAACTTGTCTTGAGTACCACTTTTCTGCATGAGGATTCTGCCTGACCATCAAATTTCTCCTCTTCTCCAGGGAAATTCCTCAGCATAGAGGTACCAACCAGAGCAAATCTAGACACCTCTTTCTCCCCAACTGTGTGAATGAATGAAAAAGCAGTTTATTAAGCATTTAACTATGTGCCAGGAATTGTGCTAAGCATTGGGTATGCAAATATAAAAAGTAAGATAGCCCCTGCCTTCAAGAAGCTCATTCTAATAAAGGAAGATAAGTCCTATAGGGAAGTGATGGCCAGGGAGGCATGTTCGGGTCTGAAAAGTCACAGGGAAGATGAGTGGTATGACAGGAAGATTGATTGTCCTTGCCCCCTGTGGGAGTAGGCCCGTTGGGATTTGGCTATTGCTTCTAGATCAAAACCTGCTAGTTAATGCCTCTCTAGTATCATGTCAGGAAGATGGGCAGGGTGCAGGGTCGTGGAGTCTGGGCCCCGCTAGATACCAATCAAGAGATTTGCTTAAGGACCAGGTGGAAAGAACACTGGCAGCAGTAAATATGTGTAACCCAACTAAAATGGTCCTGGGTATCAGGGGTCTTAGTTTTGACCCTCAGTATCATGGAATCTAATTTTAACCCCAATAGAATCTCTTTGTGGCTGTGCCCTTATCATGGAGCTCTGAAGCAGAGTATGGCACAGGTGAGTTGGTACTTTGAGTCACAACATTGGATCATTTTAGTATTAGATTTGCAGCTTTAAAGGGCTCTTAGGAATGATGTAGCCAGACCCATTCCTTTCACAAAAGAGGAAACTGAGGCTCAGGGAAGTTATCTTCCCAAAGCCCTATGAGTAAATAAGTAGTAGAGCCAAGCTTTAAAATGAAGGGCTTTGAATCCACCTTCAGAGCTTTCCCCACTACATCATGTTGCCTCCTTCTGAATATAAATAACTTATTCAAGGGTCAGTCTTTCAGCCCCTGCATGCCTCTGGAGTGCTCTAACCCTGGTAGCAGCTGGATTTATGAGTCCTGACTATACCAGAAACCCAAGAGAACTTGTAAGAAGACTCCCTCTTCCTCTGCAATGAGAAAGGACATTGATAAGAACAGGCAGCATGGGATAACGGAAATAGCACTGGTTTTGGATTCAGAAGGCTTGGTTTCAAGTCCCAGTTCTGCCAAGAGCTAGATGTATGACCTTGGGCAAGTTTCTCTAAATATCAATTTCCTCCTCAGAAAAGTGAAGTGAGGTTATGTTCTATGATGTGTAAAATAATTGTTTCTAATTCTAAGATGCTAGGCAATGTTAGGCAATTTCCAAGTCTCCTTCCAGTCTGGAAGAATCTTTGGTTCTACAGTATCCTTCTGAAAGCAGGGGAGAGATTCTGATTCTCTTAACTACCTATAGATTGGAGACTAGGCCTTGAAGGAAACCAAACCCAGAGTGGCATTCTCATGGAGACAAAAGACAGCCCACATCTTTCCCCAGTGACTCTGAGAAGGGCCTAGAAAGGTATTAGAGCCATGTAGAGGCTGCATCTTCTGCATCTTCGAGTAAGACCTAAGTCCTAGGCTGTGCAGAGAATCTGGGACACATGGGGCAGGGGCAGGAGGGAAGTTGTAGCTTATGGAACCAGAAATGGCTGAGCCAGTGCCAATCCATGGAGTAGTGTCTCTGTAACATATATAGTATTCCTATAAAGGATATTGGAGATTTTTCATGATTTTATTCTAACACACACTGATGGGTTTACTTTTACTAGCTAGATGAAGGACCCAGCTTTTTAATACTAATACTCTTCCTGAGATGCTATGGAACTGCAAATTCAATTAAATTCAACAAGCATTAAGGGGCAGCTAGGTGGTGCAGTGGATAGAGCACCAGCCTTGGATTCTGGAGGACCTGAGTTCAAATCTAGCCTCAGACACATAACACTTACTAGCTGTGTGACCCTGGGCAAGTCACTTCACCCCACTGCCTAACCAAAAAAAAAAAAAAAGAAATTCAAAAAGCATTAAGTACCTATTATGTACAAAGTGCTGAGCCAGCTGATAATTATATAAAAACAAAGATGAAAATAGGCCTTGACCTCAAGAAACTTACCTGGGGAGAGGAGTTGGGGGGGAAGAGGAGGGTATACAGAGAAGTAAATATAAAATCTATACAAAATAGATACAAAGTAATTGTGTCTAGTTTTGTGAATATATGTATATGTGTATAATATATATATATACATATACATGTATATATATATATATATATACACACATATGTATTCATCTAGAGAAGTATTAACACCAGAATGATTCAGGAAAACCTATACCAGCTCTAAGAGCCCACTGTTAAATTTTAATTGTAAGCATTTACACCTCGGAAATTGGCAAAAACTACAAATCAGAGTGTGATTTATTGTCTTATTGATGGCCTAAACTAAAAAAACAAATGATGAAGAAAATCAATGCTGATTAAACTTAAAAGTGTATCTTTTGAACTACCTGCCTCCTCCTTCCCCCGAGATCTGGTTGTTAAACATTTACCACCACACCGATGTGTACAGGGAATGCCAAGTAGGCCAGTTTGTCTGGAATTAGAGCAGATAAAAGGGGATAGTGGGAAATAAGTCTGATAAGCTAGACAAAGGCCAGATTATTAATGGTTTTAAGTGTCAAATAGAGGAGTTCATATTTTATCTCAGAGTCAGAAGGGAACCCCTGAAGCTTTTTGGGCCAAGGATTTAGATGGTCAGAGCAGTATGGCAGGAATATAATTTTGTCAGCTGTGTGGAGGAAGGATTGGAGAGGGTAGAGACTGGAGGCAGGGAAACCAATTAGGAGGCTATTGAAATATTCCAGTTGGGAAGAAAAAAGAACCTAACCTAGGATGGAGGCTATGTGAGTAGAGGGAACGGGAAGTAAGAGGTGTTATGTAGCTAGATTAGAGAAGTCATTGACTAGTACCATAATCATAATAGAGAAAGTGAAGCTGATGACTTTGTGCAGCTCTGCCTCACTTTAATCCAATTCATGCACAAGACAAGACATCTTCTGTGATGTTATTGATCCTCTTCGAAAATGAAGGACAAGCAGCAACCACATTAACGTTTATGTAACACTAAGGTTTATAAAGCACTTAACAAACATTAACTCATTCAATCCTCACAATAACCCTGGGAGATAAGTGCTATTACTAGCCCCATTTTTTATATTAAGAAGCCCTGAGACGGGGCAGTGGGTAAAGTGACTGGCCCAAGGTGACACAGCCACTAAGTGTCTGAATTTGAACTCAGGACTTCATGATTGCAAGTCTAATGTTCTATCCCCTGCACCACTGAGCTGCCTCTTGTCCATAGAATCAGAATTGTGGATCTGCTATAAAGACTGCAATGTTATCAATTAAAAAATCAAACATTGAGAAATGGTATACAATAAATCATTAAAGATGTTTATGACTGGAAAAAGAGGCAGGTAAGTTATATAGTATGAGTGAGTGATACAAATGGATAGCCAATGCACTGTTTGTACCTATGAGGAAAGCCTTCAATCCTTTGGGTGGATTCTTATGGAGAAGTTAAGGGAGGACATGGACAAACATCATAGAGGATGAGAAGGCCTAAATATGGTCGAGTTGTAATTTTCACCATTGGAGGAAGTACTCAGATTAGTGATATCACAGATCCATCCATTCATGGATAATTAAGACAGATAAAGAAGAATGAGATGCAGTTGAGAGGCAGACAAGAAGGTACATATAGCATTGGTAGGGAAAGTGAAGCATTTGCTTAAGTCTAGCAGGAAGCAGTGTCAATGAACTATTTAGTAAAGAAAAACTTTGTAGCCTAGAGGAGCTAGGTCACAGTTTCTTCATCCATAAAATAGAGAAGAAGGGGGAGATTGGACAAGATGATTAATAAGGTCTCTTTTAGCTCTAAAGGGCTGTGATTTTATGAGTCAATACTCCTTTGAAAGTACCTAACGTTCCTAGTTAGGCGTTTTTTTCCACTGGGAAAATCTGGCTAGTTGCTAGGTATTCATTCAATCCAGTTTTGAAAAATTTAAGAGAATCTCTCAAAACTACACTAACCAATGTAAGTCTTACTTAACATATTCAGTCTAACGTTAAGCCTACTTTCATTGTTCTTTATATAGTATAGAAAATGACAGAGTTGGGCTATGTGTTGTCTATGGAAGTGTCACAGACACTTTT